CTCCAGCCTTCTCAGTCGGTAGAGCATGGGAAGCTGAAAAGTCCTTGGCTAGTGTAAGCATTACCTAGCAACAACTAAAACATCAGTGTGTGATCAACATTGTTCTCATGCTAAATCCAAAACACAGCACTGTACCAGCTACTAAGAAGGAAATTAACTCTATCCCTGCCAAAACCAGGACACAGTTTTACTTTGTTATCTTTAGGAAGAGGATATTTGTATTTAAGTTACTATTAATGAAGGCTGATGGACTAGAGATTATATCTTTTTTCTGGCTAGCTCAATTTCTACAATTGAATTAAAGAGCCAGTTCAAATTTTTCAAGGGGAACGAATTCCTCTGATCTGTGAAACATACATTTCTGAAGTGGATTCATGCTGCCTGCATGTATTAACTCTCTTAATTCAACTATACCATAAATCAAACCTTGCTGAAGTAGTATTGGATAGACAAGAGACAGCAAAATGCTAGTGAGTGGAAGGACAGTCACAATCTTTTCTTATGATCTTGAACAAATCTCAGTTAACCTTTCTGTACCTCAGGTTTCCCAGCTATAAACTGAGGGTAAAATTCGTATTTCCTGGAGAGCTGCTGCTAGACATCATGCCAGTGTTTGTAAAATATTAGAGCAAGGTGCAGAGTATCATCACTGTCTGCTGGTTGTCAGAATATACATGGAGGGAAAAGAAATGCATGAATGTGTTAAAATAGGCTGTAATTTCTTTATGGAGGCTTGGGCAGAATTCCAGTTGCTTTAAATCATGTATTTAATTAATACTCATCTATTCAAACGCTGCATCCCAGCCAGGAGCTGACATTGTATTTGCTTTGCTATAAACATAATAGGATGAGTTTGTGGCAGAAGAGAAGGCTTATTTTAAGCTTCTTATAGATGTTTATGAAATAAATGTTTCCTGATCCTGCAGTGAAGAAGGGGAAATAAAGCAAGCAAGTCATATCTGGAGTAGGGCAACACCGCCTTGAACAAGCAAGCTCAGTCCCAGTGTCACTGAGACCACTGGCAGGGTCAGAGCTAGATTTAACTCTGTCAGCTGCAAACATACCCCTCTGTGAGAGACCACAGATGGACTAGACATGCAGATCTGGGAGCTTGGCTCTGGCCCAGATTGAAAGTGGAGCTGAGGAGGCAGCAGCCTGCAGAGAACATCCCTGCTGCAGCTCCCAGATGGACGCTGGTTAGTGCCCTGGTGCCTTTCATGGCACAGGGAGCATGTGGGTTGCAGGATGCTGAGCAGCACCAACCTCTCGGGTGTCTTGATTCACAGGCATTGTTTCATGTATCTTTGTACCTCCTGCTTCTAGTCATATTTGATTTGCTGACAGCTCCTATTATCCCCATGGATGGACTGAGATACAGGGCACCTCAGGGCCATACTTGGTCTGATGACTGTACATGTCTAAGCTAGCCCCTGTGCCTGCTGTGACATCCAAGGCCAGGAGAACAAGGGGAGGTTCAGAGTCCTGCCCTCTCAGGCACCTGTCCTTGGCTCCATGTGCAGTCAGTGTAAAGAAGCTGTTGCAATGCCTACAAGGAGTAGGCACAATATACCATGCCTGACCTGCCCTAGGCAACACTGGAAGTTTGTGGCAACACATGGAGTCAGAGCCAGGTCCTTGATGATTAGCTTTGCTTTTCTCTTGTTGACACCTACAGCTCCTGCTGACTTCAGCTTTAGCTACAGATGTGGGTATTTAAGAATCAGGCTTCATACTCCTACAAGTGGATTAAAATGATGTCTAGTAATTTATGCAGGTCATAAGCATACAGCATATAGAGAATCAGTACTCTTTCCATTATTGCAGTCAGACATCCCTACTCTGAATTTATTAATCAAAAACAAACTGTGCATCAGATTTTCATATTTAAGCCATATAAACAGCTGGGAGTCCAATAATAATTCTATGAAATCTTAAAGTTGAGAAAGATTTATAACAAGGGCTGGTGGGCAGAGCAGCTAAATCAGCTTATAGAAATGAGATAGACAGCAATGAAAAATAATTGACTCAGTGCCTGCTTGTACATACAACCACTTCTCAGCCAATAAAAAAGAAATAGAGAGATTCTGTAGGAGTTCTTGAAAAGTGTCCTTTAACTTTCATTTCAGTTGACACTAGAAGTTGATGGCTGGGGACATGGAATTGTTTAGTTCCAAGTTGCTGTTTCCACTCTGCATTTGTTGGTCAGTCCGTTGTCTGGCTGGTGATCTCTTTTGGTGACATTTTATAAAAAAAAAAAAACAGCATTTTTTTTCCAGTGGAACTCATGTTGCGAAGTAGCAACTTGAATGCCCTAGCAGACGCAACATGGATTGGTCATGAAACACAAGTGGTAGGGAAGAGAAAATTCTGCTATTGGTGTTGCACTGGAAATCCTTTGGCCTTCAGGAAATCAGAAGCACCCAATCCATGTCGCTGGTCAGTAACTACTACATCATAAAGAAAGTTTTTAAAGAGGGGGAAAAAATGAGCCTAGCAAACTTTTTCGTACTTCATCTTCCTTTACACTAGTTTTATATATACTACTATATACTACATATATACTTATATATTTTATTATATATATAGTATATAATATTTATATACTACTTGTATAGTAGTATATTTATATACTACTTGTATAGTTACAGAACTAACTCTGTCGGCATCTGTTTTACTCAGGTCAAAAGGAGAATAGGGCTTTTCTCTGTGAAGTTTTTCAAGTACATTTTCAGTTGTGTCATCTTGTTTTGCTAGACAATATTAAATAGCTGTAATACTAAGCTGCTTGTATTAAGGTAATATATATGACAGTAATGAATTGGACCCTTCACAGAGCTGAAGCTTTCAGAGAGACATAAGCCAAGGCAACAACAGACAAAATGTCCGTCCAGATGTCAGTGAAACAATAAACTCCTTTTATAGTTTGGTTGAAGACCTAAGGCTGTGTCATTTAACTAAAGGCAGCCATAATAAAGCAAACAGAATTGAAAGCGTTAATCCAGCTTTCATTAAATAAATTGTCTATGTTGTGGCATATGTGGACTCTGTTAGAAACAGACTGAGTTACAGCCCTGACAATCTCTCATCCTCCAACACTTTGTTTTAACTGGATCAGCTCTCTGTTCTCTAGATATATTACTGGGTTTATTTTAAAGCCACACTTTTTTTTTTTTTAATCAGGGGCTAAGCTCATGTTTATTTGAGGCTTCAGAAGAATATCTTTCTTTGCCAGTGGAGAATCTGTGTCAGCTATGAATGACAAAAAAGGAAAGCTGACTCATGGCAAAGATTTGAAATAAGTCAGTGGGAACATTTGAGAAATAGGAATTTATGCCCTACCATAGAAGAGCATGTAGACTATGGGCCAAAAATAGCTAGGGCATTAATTTCACCGAAGCTACATCAAGGGTAGTTTTGGTTCTTTGAGGTGAGGCAAACGATTCTCAAGTGAGACACACATGGCCCATGAAACCAACGCATCTAAGTGCTCGGGTGAGGAAAACTGCCCACCATTTGAGGGAGGACATTCAGAATGAAAGAGATCTGGGCTTAGGTTAAGAGGAATGGTCAACTCTGAATGTTGGCAAGATAGGCCTGTTAAGCAACTTGTTATTATGGGTTGTCCATGATGAATTTATGACATGTTGGTGGGAAGTGAAAGCATCTTTGAAATAAGAAAAGTTATCCTTCTGTTCTTTGCGGTTTATGCGGCGAAGCTTCAGTTTGGATTCTATTATAAGTAGTAATTGTAATGATGACTGTTAACATGTATGCTTTTTTGTCCTCAGAGATCCCAAAGAGCTTTTACAGATTACATATAAGATCCATTTGTTGACTTAGTTGATATGAATGTTTTAAGCACAGGAAATCTTGAGCCTAAGAGGATCTGTTCCTGTAGCACCTGCTGCACACCAAGTCCAAAAACTAGTCTAAGTCCAATGTGAAAAGCTTTTTGTTTTCTTAGCTAGATGCCATGGCTGGAAAGATGCTTCCTTTTAGATCCTAGCTCTTGGGAGACTGTTTTAATTAGGAACACGTACCGTGATGTTTTGCCTTCTGAAGGAACATAAACACGGAAGTCCTCAGTCCTAAAGACCACTATCTCAAATTCTATTTTCTGCTCTTTGGTCCCACACATAGAGCAAACCTAAGAGAATAAATACCCCTAATGCATGTAGACAACTTTGCTGCTTATATTGCAAACCTGAATTGCAGTCTTGATGGCAGTGTCAAATCAGAGGGCTGAGCTGGCAGCCTTTGCACTCTTCACGGATTGTCACTTGTCTGCGATCCATGAAGTTTAAGTTTCTCTTTCTCCAGTTAATAAAGAATGGCAGAAATGGAGCTCACTAAAAATTTTCAAGTTCATATTTTGGGCTTGAAGCAAATTTACTTACTTTTTAAGTGAACTAACTTTCCCTTTTTCAGCATTTTTTCTTTGCCGATGCTTTCAAGCTTTAACTCTTCAGGTAATGTAAGCTAAAGTCTGCAAAGGACATGCTGGGTGAGAACTGTCACTATTGTGTGGGAACGTGTCTTTGTGGTGAGTTTATTGGGACCACTCTGTGTTTCTCTTTGCTCAGGGAAGCCGTATGGTGCAGATGACTTCCTCCCCGTGCTCATGTATGTGTTGGCCCGCAGCAACTTGACTGAAGTCCTTCTGAATGTGGAGTATATGATGGAGCTCATGGACCCTGCTCTGCAGCTAGGGGAAGGTAGAGTACAATGTTTGCTCCTCGGATATTCACTTTGGAAATCATTATTTACCTCGCTTCAGTGTTTGTGAAAGTGGGGCAGCAAGGCTCTGGCTAGGCTTTGTGGATAAGCTTTGGCCAAGCTTTTCAAATCTGAGGCTCTAAAATTACTGTCAAACACTTTAACTGTTTTTAGCAGTGCAGTGCCCTTAGTCACCAGCTAGAAAGGCAGGGACCCAGCCTAAATGAGAACTGAGTTGCTGGATTAGTAAACTAAACAGAGACATCTAGTGTTCCTTGGCCCAAAGGCTGAAAAGTTAAACTATCTTTGCTGAAAATTAAACTGCTGCTGCAATACATTGTGCGGGCACTTTTATTTATTTCAATGAGAAAAGAGGACATTTCTTAAACTGCATTGTATGCCTGGGGCCATACATCATTCTCATGGTCACTCTACTCTTAAATTTGAGTGACCCCTTTGACAATGTTCTCTGGCTGAGTATCATAGTGAGGCAGAGAAAGGAAAGTCGGGTTAGAGAGGATTATTGGGTTTGGATGTGAATAAAGACCTTTGCTCTTAGAGGGATAAATACCCCAGGGAACTGTGGGCCTTTAGTTTCTTAAATATAGCTTGGGAAGCAAATGCTACTAACAGTGACAGGGCTACGCACTCTGAATTAGGAACACAGATCATTTTTCACCAAGTAGTCACTAAACCAATAAAATGGGTTTTATTTTAGACTTTGTTTTGGTAAGTACTGAGGTTCTAGAAAGGAGTCTTGGATGAACAACAGCAGACTAATTTTATTTATATTAATTGGAGATACAAGTCTGTAACTAAGAGCACGTCATCCCAGCACAGTGCAGAGGTGGGCAAAAGTAAGTACTAACAGAATGAACACTAGCAATGCAATCGTATTAGTGAGGGGTTTCTGCACAGGCTAATTTTCCTGCTGAAAAGAATTGTTAGCAGACAATTGCTGACATAACTAAGCTGGTTTTGGTGACTACGCTACCCACAGGTTCTTAATTTCAAAAGGGCACACTACCAGGCTGGTTACAGAAGTCAGCTGAGTTGGGGAGCTCAGGGTATCGAAGGCAAAGCTGGCTGGAAGTTCTCTTAAGTGAAAGATGCAAGGACTGTGTGAAAGGTGCACTCCAGTCAAAGGGGAAAAATTTTGTGAGGGAGTTCAAGATCAAACTGGCTGAATAATCACATCAGAAAGGAGACTGGGAGTAGCTGCAGATACAGGGAACGGAAAAAAAAGAACGTCTCAGTGAAGACAGCTCTGAGATCGCAAAGCGCAGGGCTAAAACGGGAACTGGCAAAAGTTAACTTGAGTTAGGCCTTTCAAAGTTAAATGGCAAAAGATGATTCAGGCACAGAAATAAAAGGAAAAAAAGGAAAGCAGAAGTGAGAAAACTGAAATTATGTCAGGTCAATACACAAAATCATTTAAATCTGGCCTCCAAATTAAAAAATTACTTTGAATGAATTTTATAACAACAGTGATGTTGACTACTGGGGCAAAGGCAAGGACAGATGATGGGGAATGACTGTGTGGAAATGAAGATACTGGAAAGTGGAAGAAAAATTAATTCTTAAAGAAGATGTAATGAATTCCTGTCGTGGGGGACTGGGAGATCTTCCTCTCTGGAATCTGAGGGAAGGGATACACCAGGTCGTGGGTCCCATCACAGGGACCCCTGACTCTGCCAGAGCAGGAGAAATACTGAACGACAGACGAGGGAGGGTAGTAACTATATTTAAGAGGGGAAGAGTGGCACTTGCAGGCTTGTTAGCCTGTTCTCAGCAGCACTTTGTGGGAGACAGTAAAGAAAAAGAGAGTGTTTTTAGTGTATGCAGACCCACATAGTTATGGGACGTTCCTCATTGGATCCACCTGAGTACAGAAAGTCAAATGGCAATGTCTTGGCTTCTCCTCTCCTACACCAAACTTTAATGGTGCTCTAAAAATACTGCTCTTAAATAAAATGCTGTCTTAGCCACCACTTACGCAACCAACCACAATGACTGCGGAGCTCATCAGAGCCTAAGGAAAGGCTACGAAACCCCAGGCTGGCTGGTGCGAGGTTTGGGTGATGTGGAAGTGCCATCTAGAGGCAACTGCAATTATTATGACATTTATTAAAAACAGGGAGCTCCGCCCAGCTGATGAGTAATTTTTAATTCTCCCTGTTTTCCTGGCTCCCGGGGCGAGGGAAGCAGCAGCAGGGGATTGTGCAGAGGCCGGGGCAGTGGGCCCGGCTTGGTGTGGGGCTCGCAGGCGACACTGGCCCCCACCGAGGCCCGGCCTCTCGCCCTGCTTCAGGCCAGGAGTGCTCTCGCCTGGAGGCCCAGGGGACACATCCCCATCCCCGCTGCCTCTGGGACACTGCGCTGCTGCTCGAGCAGCTCTGCAGGCTGATTCCTTCCCTGTGTTTAGAGGAGACCCTGGCCCGAGCCTCTCGCTCGTCAGCGGAGCTGAGCCTGGGAGGCAGCTGGGAAAATGAGCACTTTTAATTAACGTGGCGCTGGGGCCATGCCCTGGCATGGGGCTGCCCCGCAACCAAAGCAGCAGCTTCCTCATATTCAACTCTGTCCTCTTATCAGGGCTTATCTTCATCTCTGTTGATGAAGCCTGTTCTTATCATGGTCCAGCTGCTTCCCTGGCTGCTGCACTTGGTTATTTATTACCTGCTGCAGCCAACGCCACAGCAGTCAGGGAGTTTCTGACTGGCTGTGGGCTTTTACCGCTTTATCCCCTCTTTCTCTGCTTTACCAAGATTTATCCCACAACTCTGAACAGTCCAGGAATTACTCTCAGCCAAACGTCTGGGCTCCCTGTCTTGTCGATAGAGATGGAGGGAGTAGAGGGTAACTCGTCCTTGCAGGTCTGAGCCATCCTTCAACGGTGCTGAGCCCACAGGGGACCTGGGCTCTAAATATTTCAGCAATGCAGCTAGAGTTGGAGGGGCTGAATCCAGGCCTTGTACTTTTCCTACAGAGCACACTATGATTGTTACTATTTCTTTGCATTATGGGGACTGCTCAGGAGCCCAAATTACAGACCTGTTGCACTGGCCCTGCTGAACACAACAAAAAGATAGCCATGCCCCAAAGAATAAACCGTCTGTGGTCAAAGACGTTGGTTTGGGTTTGTTTGTGAAAGCAGCCTTTGTAGTAGTTTACCTTCAGTCTGTGTTTCCTCCTAGGGCATCTACAGCCTCAGCAGTCTGGGCAGTGACATTGCTGTGAAGCAGAAGGGGGTGGAGGACACTGGTCGTTAGGTCTCCTTTCTCTTGGGTTAACATCAGACACTCCTGCACTCCCTGCAGCGAGGCACAGACAGCGCAGGTGTTAGCCAGCTGCCGCTGCACAGGCACAAGCAGGCAGGATGGAAGTGGAAATGAATGGCCCGTGCTGGTGTGATGTTCATACAAGACATTCTCCTTTCTCAGGCTCCTATTATTTAACCACCACCTATGGGGCCCTGGAGCACATCAAGAGCTACGACAAAATCACTGTCACACGGCAGCTGAGCATGGAGGTGCAGGACTCCATTCACCGCTGGGAGCGACGGAGGACACTGAACAAGGCCCGGGCTTCCCGCTCATCAGTGCAGGTAGCTGGCATTATTTTCTAGGGAAAAAGCCTGGAAGATGAACATGCTGTCTCCATACTTAATAATTTTTAATATGATAATTATTTTAAAACAAAATTAACCCAAATCACTGTTAAAAAACAAGAGTACATATGGTGCAAGATTTCCAAGTCTTAAAAAACCACACCTCATTTGAAATATATATTACTTACAAAATGCATTTTGAAGTCTTGAAGTATCCTCATAACAATATAATTTTAAATATGACTGCAGAGTGATTTCATTGTCCATTCTTGAAGGAGGCGTGCTGGGAGCTTTCCCATGTGGAGCTGCGGTGGGGAGGCAGGGAGCCCCTCTTCTCCACCACTGGGGAAATCATGGGCTAAGCTGAGGAGATGTGAGCGGGCTACGCAGGGGCGGTTCCTAGATGGCATAAAGCTGTAGGAGCACCTGAGACATCCCAAGGGCCAGTCAGACAAGCATCTTCCCGAGCCTGCCTTCTCCTGTCCAGCGGCAGGGAAGACCCAACAATGTCTGGTTAGCTTTGAAGCCCATGCTGTGTATGGCCTGGCGAAGACCTCCCCGTGCACCAGTGGGAGAGGGTCCCAGGAGGGATGGGTGCTCTGGGCCTCCAGCCATGGTGAGGCTGGGTGCTGGACCAGGCAGTCGGGATGCTCTGCCAGCCCCATGTCCTGTGATCAAATTGTCACCCACGGGGAGGCAGCAAAGGCCACATCTCAGGTTCTCTAAAGCCTTCACAGTGCAAAACTGAAAATTGTGAATGCTGAGGGGAAAGTCAGGGGAAAGTCTCCTGAGGGGGAGACACAGTCCCTATAGCCCTGTGAAAGCATGGAGTTGAATATGTTTCCCATATTGCAGTCAAAACAGCCCCTGATGATCTCAGAACTTGTGAATGGTGGATGGGATACACCAAATACCCATCCAGCCCTGAGTGCTGCTCTGGCAGTAGCTCATAGCAAGTACCTAGCATGGAGCATAATAGCTGAGCGAGCAAATGCCACATTTCCCCAGAAGATTCCCACCACCTCCAGCAGCGTAAGGGACGTTTTCCATTCCTTTGAATGAGGGGTAATATCAGAGACATGCAAGCCCATCCTGGCAGAGATAAACAGCTTGCTGATGTGTTCAGCATGCCTGCACATCCCTCTGGCTGCCTTAATCATCTGCAGTGATACTCCATAAATGCAGTCTGGAAACCCATAGTCTACATATTTGGCAAATTTCACTTCTGCATTTCTGACCAAAATGGCTGGGAATTTTTTTGAACTTCACAGATACATATTAAACACATGGGTTCCACCGTGACAAAAAGGTCTCTAGATTCTGTTCTTCATGAGTTCAGCAAGAGGAAAGTCATCCCAACAGTCATTACTGCCTGAAACAGGATACAAGTAAATCAGCCTCCTCAGCATAACTTCTTCCTCTGTTTCCTTACTGATGGAAGGAAGTTTGGAGGACATATTCTCAAGGTGCTGTTTGGGTGACGGTGGAGTCACAAGGGTCACCACCCTCCCAGGCCTTTCCTGTTTCTGTGAGATGGTGTTTTCAGGCCAGATCTCTGAGGTTTTTGGCTTGTTATTCTGGTCTGTTACTTCTTTGCATCCTATTTCTTCAGGAGCTGTAGAAAGGTGGGAGAAGGAACTGTTGCAGACTGCTCATTAATGATATTCACCAAAATCAGAAAAAAGCTTTCACTCATGTGTCTTTACAGGGCTAATTATTTGACTAAGTGTTTGTTTAAGTATTTGCTGATTCAGAGCTTGTTCGTCAGAGGGGAGAAAGGAGAGAATAACTGGGGCATTGGAGGATGACTGGAGGATATTTGGGAGCATTTAGGAGCTCTAGGCAGCTAGACCTTTGCGCTGAATTCTGCCTCCTTCAGTCTCAAGTCACTGTGTTAACTGCAAGATCTATCCTCATGTTTCTCTTCAGGATTTCATCTCTATCTCCTTTCTGGAAATCGGTGCTCAGTCAAGGACACTTGCTTCCCGGAACGACACCACGGCTGAGCAGCTGAGCCAGCAGTGTGCCGAAAAGTTTGAAGTCTCCCATCCCAAGGATTATGGACTCTTTGTTTATGTTGATGACCAGTGGCTGCAGCTGGACAAAGATGCCCTTCCTCACCATATCAAAGCCTCTCTGCTGAAGAGTGAAACCAAGAAAGATTTCCATTTTATTTATAAACCAATAGACCATAAAACCCCACCAGTTCCAATTGCCAAAGAGTCAGACTTTCCCTAAGGGCCGTGCTGCTCTTTTGTTGTGTTTGCTGTCATCCTGGAAGGGCTGGATAGTTTATCTCATGAGATCCTCTGGTATCTGCAGACCTCAGAAGGTCTCTGGAGCGTGGCCTTCAACACAGGGCAGATGTGCTAAATGTAGATGCTCTCTGAATACAGAGCATTTCTCAGCAGAGTTCATTTGCAGAAATAAAAGGAGCATTCAGGAGAACATTCATCCTTTGGAAAACTTGAAGTATCAAACCTCAGAACCTCCCGCTGGCAACGAGCCGACGCCGCAGAATGTAAATGGACAGTGGAGAAAATCCAGAGATCTTGCAGAAAAGTGGACATTTACTCCATAATAAATTATGGCAGGTCTGAAACACCTCTGTGCACAAGGCCTGTGAAAGGTCTGCACACACCTCGATGCTATCTGGAGGTAAGACTGCATTTACGCCTTACAGTATCTGTTCACCCAGTTTGAATAAACTGAGTCTTGTCTGATGTATTCAGTGGCATAGGGTTGCCACCTGTAGCAGAACTCCATCTCTGTCTTGCTGTCTACAACATGTCATTGCCTTTGAAATCCACGTAATTACAGACCATGCAAGATGATCCTGTACCTTCACCAATAATACATTTTCTGCCATCTATTTGTCACTGAAATCGGGTAGCATAGGCATTTTCATCATGTATTTTTCTTAAAGATTGAAAGTCTTCACCATCAGTTTTACATGTACAGCAGTTTTAATCACATTGGTTGTATGATAGTGTCTGGTTAATTGTATATTTATTTCCATGTGCGATATGGTGCAATTATTTTAAAATAAGCGTTTGTAAAGAACTTAATAATTTGCCCTGTGTAGCAAACCAGATTAAAATTTGAAAGTCAAGAAGAGCTAGAATTAAATACCTGTCCCTTTTTACCCTGATGTCATTTTCTCTAGTGTTTTCATATCTGTAAGTCCCACCAGGTTATTACTTTAATAAATTCAGGCTGTTGCAGACAGAACTTGCTAATTCTCCTTTCTACCTGTGCTTTCAGTCATTCAGTCATTGCAGACTTAAATTTCCCTGCAAACCTAAATTCCCACAGAATAAATTGAACCAATGCAAAAGTGCATTTCATGAAGTTTGAAAACAAATTTTCGGGATTGGGTAATGGTAGCAGGAGCCTTAATTGCAAGACAGATCCATGTCTTCTGGGTGCCTTTATTCAGGCAAGATTCCCACTGCGAACACAAGATACTGGATTGTCTGCATGCAGGAGGCAAGTAACCTCTACTGCAGCTACACAAACTTGGGATCAGGCCTAGCAAATCTCTGATTAGAAAGAAAGGGTGTTTTACTGTGGGTTTTGCTCAAAGTTGCTATTGTTTCCTCCCATTAACATTCAAAAAAGAATTGGGACACATTGGGCCAAGTTGCCCAAGGTCCATGCCTTACTCCTGAAGCTCCAAAGGTAAAATGGTATTGCATGTAGCTGGTCACTCTTTCAGTCTCAGCGGCTTGAAATGTCCATCTACGTGCCCCAGCTGTAGCATGCACTGGCCAAATCTGTATACAGATAGCAAACCAGTGCTGTGCATCTGCCAGCTTGGGCTGCATGCATGACTTGTGGGGAAGGGACAACAACCAAGGATGAGGAACAGTGAATAACAGCAATCTCAGTTTCGAGGACATCATGTGCAGAGCTTGCAGTGTGTGACACCGGCACTGAGCTGACTCCAAATTCATGGTTATTTGCTCATGTGCAGCTGTCTGCACCTCCACTTTGCCTCTGGGCAACACACCTGCAGGGTGCCGGAGCTGAACTCCTCCCTCGCGCTGCCATTAGCCTCTTGCAGGGCAGTGCATTCCTGTTGGGAGCCTGTGCTGCTCTCAGGGTGGCACTCGGGATGCCATGACCAAACCTGAGATACAGGTTTCCAGTACCGATCTGACTGAGGAGATGCTGCTCTCAGGGCCCTGAGGGCACTCACAGGCGTTGCTTCCTCCGGTGCCTCCCCAGGGCTACCCCACCCGGCCCACGGCCCAGGACCCCATTTCAGCCTCCCAGGGCTGTCAGCCCCTGCCCCAGTGATGCTGCAGCAAGGCTGGTCTCCAGCTCCCCACAGCTATGTCCCAGCCCAGCCTCAGCCTGTCCCCATCCCCAGGGAGGTGTCCAATGCCCAGAACTGGGGCTGCCCCTGGTGCTCCCCGCTGTCCCAGCCCCAGTGACTGCACCAAGGCTGGTCTCCAGCTCCCCACAGCTATGTCCCAGCCCAGCCTCAGCCTGTCCCCATCCCCAGGGAGGTGTCCAATGCCCAGAACTGGGGCTGCCCCTGGTGCTCCCCGCTGTCCCACTCCTGGCTGTAGCAGTGGAACAGGCCCCCAGGGAGCCCCCATGGCCCCAGGAGCTGCTGGCCTCTCTGTCCCAACAGCAGCTTCCCCACATCCATCCTGCAGGCTGCAGCAAGGACATCAGCTCTTGCCCTTCTGCCGCGCTGCCCTGGATGTCGTGTGCCAATGGCTGGGCGGCAGGCCCTCACCAGGTGGCTGGGTACAGGGTCCCCTGGGTGCTCTGGCTGTGAGGCAACGTGTCCTCACCCTGCCTGGCTCCTCGGCCCACCACTATCCCTGCGTGTTGAGCGAGCTCATGGTAGTTTCCCTCGCTGGTGGAAGCACTGCCAGTAAATCCCTGACACATAGCACAGAGAGGCCGGTTGCCCTGTTTCCACTGCAGGTATCAACACTGATGTCCATATGTCCTGAGGACTGACCTGCTCTGTGTTGGCCATACTGAGCACGATCTCGACTGTCACCCCGGGGCTGTGGCAGCTGGAGGGTCCAACCTCTGGGCAGCACCACTTATGAACCTTCCTTTTTTCTCAAACCTAGCCCCACCTCTAAATCCTCTGTTTTGCACCCACTCTCCCAAAGAAGACCCGCCCCCTGCTTCTCGCCTTCCTTCCCCACCTAAACCATGGGCCCAGACTAGCTCTCTGGCCCACCTCCCACAGGCCTCCTCACCCTGCCTTGGTAAGACTCCAAGCCATGTACCCACCTCATGACCCAGAGATATAGGGGGTCTGACCAGCAGCTTAGTTCTGCCGTGGCTGCTGCAAGTTATTTTAAGCCCCAGGAGCAAAGATGCATATGTCTGCCAAAGTCCTTGGCCTGATCAGGTTATCTTTATGCTGTAACATTCACAGTTAATGAGCCTAAAGTAATCTGATGGGGATGAGGCTAAAATACAAACATGCAGGGAAGGAAGCTAGGACTGATCTTCTGCTGGGTATTTCCAGAGAGCAACCGGACTTTGCACTGGCCAGGGTCGAGCAACAGATTGATGAAGTGAAGCGCTCCAGCACCTCGCAGCATCCTGGGACATCTGAGTCAGCAGCTGGACCTCGGGGCAAGGGGGAACCACAGATTATACGGCTGGTCAGCGGAGCCTGTGGAAACTGTGACAGTGCTAAATCACTGCAGTCCGAATGGGCTCAGATTAAAATTTACCAAAGCCTAGTCCCAAAATCAGACCTGCAGATCCCGGTTTTCAAAATGCAAAGAGTGCCAGCTGAATTTCTGAGCCTTTTACAAAGGCTCTCAAATTGCACATGCAACATTTTCCTCTGACATAACAGCAGCAAAGCTCTGATTTGATTTGCAAATGTCATGGCTCTCCCGAACTCAGAGATTATTGACAGTAATGCAAGTTACTGTGCCTGGCTGTGAGCTGCCTGGAAGGAAATCCCTGTGCTGGGGCTCAGTCTAGAGCAGGGCTTGCTCAGAGGCCATGGGGCACCTGGTCTGTTTGGTCACATTATATAAACCACCAGCAACAACTTTGCTAAACATACATCTCTGGGGTACAGGGGTGACCTGGCTCCTCCAATGCCTGACCACAGCTGTGCCTTGTCAGGGAACGCAAGCTGGGAGATGACCCAGATGACGGGATCCTGGAGAACCCAGGACAGAGGCAGTTGCCGCCTCTCCGGCCTCACAGCTCAGCGTTGGGGCTCAGGCTCTGCCTGTGCCGGGGTCATGCAGAAACAGCCTGTCTGGAACAAACGTGCTGTTGTTTTGGTGATCCTGGCAAAGCTCTGAGTCCCCAGCATGGAGACTGCTGGAGCGGTTCAGCATGTCCCTCCCTCTGGAACCTGGTGGCCAGGGTCCTGCGCTGCTTTGGGCTGGTATCTGACATTTCGGGTGGTGAGAAAAAAAATGTCAAATGTGGGAATGAAATGGGCGTTTTTAAATGCTCCATGGGATTTTATTCATTTGCTTTGCCATGGGGTTTCCTCATGCTGCAGCCCAGGCGAGGAGGAAGCAGTCCAGGCTGGTGATCTGCAGCCTCCCCTGGTTAGTCAAGATGGTCGAGCTGTGACTCATGCTCTGGCCCTCACGTGAGCCATCAGCAGACAGGAGTGTTTCAGGAGACTTTGACCAAGTAGGGTTGTGCAATCCAGCCAAGGCCTCCTCAAACACTTGTTTGCAGAGAAATGTTATGCAACGACCACTCATTTACTCACAAGGAAAGGATCCCAGCGTGAGAGAGGAAGAGGGAGACCTGCTGAACCCAGCAACTTCTGCAAAGAAAAAACAAAAAGCCCATGTGGCCACTTGGTGCACAGAGCTGATTTAACGCCACTTTGCACCCAGTGATACAATCTGTCAATAATTCACTGAAATAATTACACCGGCAGGTCATGTATATCCTAAAAAAAAAGCCATTGAAATCAAAGGCAGTTTTCCTGCTGAATTCAAGGCTTCTGGGCCTCATCATGCATCAGTCACCAACTATACTTTGAAACCCAGCACAAGTTGGCTTTTTTCCACAGGCTTGTGGAGCGATTCAGGCTGGCGGGGACTCCTGGAGGTCACCAGTCCAATCCCTGCTCAAGTGGGGCTGCCTCCCAAGGTTGTTCGGGGCCTCCTCCTTTCAGTGCTGCAGGTCTCCAGGGCTGGAGATCATACAGCCTCGCTGGGGCCCTGGTCCAGCATTTCAACCCCTTGCACTGTGAAAAATGGTGTCCTCCTATCCAGCTGGTGCGAAGACCCTGCCTGTCCCACCAGAGTCCCTCCTTGCATGGGTGTTGTTACTGTGGGATACTGGCCAGCTCTGCCTGCAGTGCACGGGATTACAGACGTGTAGTATTTCTGTTGTCTCCTGCCTCTTTTGGGGTATCGTGTCCCTAGGAAGGAAGCGGTCTCTGATTCAGAATTGCCTGAGCTTGTGGCACGAAATGCTGCTTAGTCAGGACTTTAGCTTGTGTCCTTTCCCTCTGCTGCTCCTCCACCCCTGCTCTCACAGGGCAGAGGCTGAGCACAGGAATGAGAGGCCTTCAGCCTCCTGCCCTGAGATGGGCACGGCTGCCCAGCACTTACCTTAAGCTGTCCTGGTGAGAGAAGATGTAACTTGGTTTGGGCAGAGCTGAAAAACTACTACTTACTGGAATCTCTAAAAAAGTGCATTATCTCCAACTCCAGGTGAACTGCTTTCTGCTTTATTGCTAGTGGAGAAGAGAGGGTGGTTACATGCGCTCTGAACAAAACTGTGTCCATGTAAGTTTGCATTATATAGAAATAGCATACAGAGTACTGTGGAGGCCGATTATGCCTCCTGCCCTCCAGGTCCTCTCAAAGGAAAGGCAGTGAACCGCTGTGTGCAGCAGGATGTTGGGTAGAAACACACAGCAGATTTGGCACAGAACGGCTGGGAAAAGGGCCTTGAACTCTGTTCTAGCAATAAGGGGGACAGGAAGCCCTGGCTGGTGCGAATGACGCTCTTCCCAGGGGTTACAGATACACACAACTATTCTGCTCAGGAAAGGTTTTTGTAAATAACACAGCCTCAACTTTGCCCCGTTCTGCCTGGTGATGACAATTTGCTGGGAACCTGACAGTTTTCCATACTTTGCAGAAGTCATTCCTGCACCCCGGCATTCTAGGAATGGCAGCCTGAGCAGCAGCTGCATGCCTGCAGGAAGAGTGAGGGTGTCTGCACTT